TTCAGAAAGCAGCTGTCTCATTAAGGTATTTGATAGTTAACAGTCAGTTTGATTTTTCCCGTGTTTTCACTGGTAATTCTGCTGTAACTGCCACTGTGAAATGTGTTTGCATGAGAGAAAGGACTGAATTTCAGTGACTACACCAAACTGATACTGGCTTGTTCAAGGCCATCAGGCTGAGCCTGTGCTCTGCTTGTGCCCCAAAATAGTCCTGAGAGCCAGAGGGAGGGTCTTTGGGTTGGGAAGGTGCTGGTGGTCAAGGGCTTGTTCAAATCCCCAGTTTGCATTTCAGAACTGGGTCTTTTCAGCCCCTTTTGCCTTAGGGAAACCAGCTTGCTTTGAGGACACACACAGGATAATCTATGGTGAGAAATAATCAGAACTGACCCCCAGAATTGTGGCACTTCGTGTTCAGTCAGAAGATCGAACTCGTGGGGTTGTGATGTAGGTTTGTGTTCACCAGAGCAGGAGGGGAAAGGCAAGTCCTGAGGCTCCTGAGGTGAACAGCAGGTTTTCCTGGGTTTAATTCACTGCCTGGATTTCACTAATGCATTTTCAGATCCAGTCCCATAGAGCCAAATGACTCGGAAATCAGTGTCTGCAATTCCCAGGAAATTCAACAGATTGCTGTATTTATTTATTGATTTTGGTAGCTTCCTAAACAGAAACTTCATTTTGTTTTCCTGTGCAGATAAACTGGATATAAACATATCTAAAGACACACTAACCTTTTTATATACATGAGGCAATCATCACCAGCATAATTATAAAAATTTAGGCTTTCAAGGCATAAAAAAGTATTATAGAATATGTTTATCTCTCAGGTAGTTTTTGATGTCTATGGGTAGTTATAGTTTACTTCTCAGTGTACAGTCCACTTTTAGTTTAGGTTTCTTTTGAAAAATTCAGTCAGTCTTTCTATCTGTCAAAATTAGACCCTCCAGCTCAGTGGGAGAAGAACATTATTTTGAAAACTAGTGTAGCTGCTGTTGATATTGCTGCCACCTGAGTTCAGCTGCTTGGAAAAACCTAATTTATACTAGATATTGCCATGCTTATCAGTGCTTCATCTTGGATTTGTTTTAAGTGAGTTTACCTAGAAGGAATCTTGTTTTCCCTCAGTGTTAAGGAGAAAAGGAGGACAATGCTCCGTGGGCTGGAGCTGGAGGGGTTTCTCGCAGGACTCCCCTCTTGCAAGGGTGTGAGAATGCCATTAAAAATGGGACTGTGCAGGGAATAACTGCAACTGTTCCTTTAGGGCCGTCCCCTCCTCTGGTTTCAGTCAATTGCTCCTGGCACGGGCATATCTAAAATAAATAAACTGTGGGGTAATGGTTGTGTTTGTCTACGCAGCACAATTGCTTTATGAGCAGTGATTGTTCTGTACCCACGAGAGCCAGGGACGGGGAGGGTTGAGAATCCTCCTGCCCTGTGTACCCAGGGGCTGCTTGAGGTCATCTCCCATCTCTGGCTGGTGCAGTGAGGAGGGAAGTGTCTCTCTGTGGCCAGGGGACACACAGAGATGCTCTGGCTGATCTGTCCAGGAGGAAACTTGCTCTCCTCAGTCCCCGTGTTCTGAATTTGGGGTGAGCGTGCCAAGGCTGACAGGTTTTTGCTGCCTCAACCTCTGGCTTCTCCAGCTGAAGAGAATAATCAGAAATGAACCCCACAGAGGTCTGATCTGGGCAGGATTAGTGTGGTCTGCTGTTGTTGATACGCCTCTTCTTTTAAAAGGTTTTTAAACTGGATATTTGGAAATTGTGCTCTTGAAAACCTTTGCCTCACGTTTCCTGGTTATCCTTGTCAAAGGTGGAAAACACTCGGTTTGTGGTGGCTGATCATGTAGTGATTTAATGCAAATAACTGGCATGATTTTGTTAGGTGTCACAAGTCCCTTTTGAGGAGGCAAAAACCAGCTTTGAAGATAAATCAGTGTAGAAATTATTCTCTTTCCTTGCAGCTCTTGCATGTGGGGAGGCCCGTTGGGTCACTGAGTCCCTCGCTCCATCTGCCAGTGCAGCATGTTCCTGAGCACCAGCCAACCTCAGAAACAGCAGGTTTGGAGATAAATGTCGAGGGGACTGACTTTTGCCATTCAGTTATTAAAGAATAGATATAGACAGCGTTGGTTTTGACTGTAGGTAAGCCTTAGGATAAGTCAGTATTTTATAAAGAGCTCACCCCACTGGGAATTGGCTCGTGCTTCCCGAGGTGATGGAACTCCATCCGAGCAGCTCCTGGTGTGTTGGAGATGACATCACATTGATGGGTGTTAGAACAGGGTTCAAAAATACAAGAAAAGTGGGAGTGAGGACTTAATGTGGTAAATAATCCACGCTTAAGCCTCCAAAAATAAGATTACTGTTGCCAGCCCAACCCTTTGTAAGGCTTAACTCCAGCCAGGCTGCTGACCAGCAGGAAGCTGGTCCTGTTTGGGAGCAGGAGGGCCTGGGCTTCCAGTTTGCACCCTGAGGTGCTTGGAAGCACAATCCAACTCTGGAGGGGTGGCTTTGCAAGCTTGCCCAGAAAATTCTGAAAAGGATCTGGTGAAGAGCCCAGCGATGAAATTCAGTCATATCTGAACTCCTGCCAGGCTTAACACGACCTTTCTGTTCTCCAGAACTGTATGATGGTTAGAGGTGAAGCTGCTAAAGATTTTATTAGTGGAAATGTCAGTGAATTGCAAAAGAGCTTATTTTAGGGGTTTGCACTGTCGTGGTTTGTCAGGGTACAGCATCGTGGTGTGTTGGGATCTTCCTCACTGGAGAAAATAGAAGGAAATTGAGGCTGTATCCTGGAAAGTGATGCAGGAATTTGCTTGTCCATCCCTGGGCCTGAGTTTGGTCAATGGGCTGAGATTATTTATTTTTGCCAAGAAAAAAATCTCAGATGGAAGTCAATAATTTTGACCTCTACATTCCCTTGGGAACAGCTGGGGTGAACATCTGCCTCTTGCAAAGGGAAGGGTAATCCCCCTCACACCCTGAGCAGGAGACCTTAATGCCCTTGTAGGAAGGGGTCATTTGGAAGTATCTGCATTTCCTGTTGACTTTAACACCTTTTTGCTTCGGGCTGTATTAATTCAGGGCTTAATTTTGAGGGAAAATAAGTTTTTTTAGTCTGAAGTTGGTAGTTACCATCCAAGTCAGGAAATGCAGAGCTGTATTTCTGGTGCTGCTAATTCAGTCCCTCTGCATATTTGTGTATGTTTTGTGGCATACATCTTAAAATAGGTAGTGATGTTTTTCTGTCCACTTATCAAGATAGAATGGGAACAGGCTGTGTGACATGCAGAGGCTGAAGGACTTGGCATTAAACAGGCAACCTGGAGCCAAATGTTTGCTTGTGTGTGCAGATTCCAGAGGGGCTGAGACCCCTTTACCTGCATATCAGCTTGGCCTGTTATCTCCTGATTTTCCTCAATTTGTTTTTAATTGTACAAATGACACAGATTTACAGGCATGGGAATGTCTACAATGTGCTTTGACTTAATAATAATGGAAATGGTTGTTACTCCCACCAGCACCAACGCTCTAGGGGTGAGGAGGGAGAGCTGGTTGGAGCTTTTCAGAGAAAAATTGTTAACTTCAGGTTTTTGTTGCACTTTCCCAGCTGCATTATCAGCATCACCTTTTAGATCTCCCTGAATCTGTCCTTGCTGAGCTCCAGCCTTGCTTAGCAAACTGATCTTACACTTTGGGTAAGCAAGATAATGCTCAGTGAAAGGGAATATTTCTCCCGGTACAAAGTCAGGGCTGTGCTCTGTAATCAGCAGAACTTCCTGCTGCTCAGTTCTCCTGGTCACAGACCGTTTAAAGGTGTGATGTCTGAGAGGGTGGAAGTGCTTTCAGTTATTTTTCCCCTAAATCTGGCAGTGTTGGCCGTGGAACAGGTCACAGCCTGCGAGGAGGAGCAACTTGGAAGAGCCTCGTTGCTTCTGCTGTTCGAGGCCTCAAACACAGGATATTTCGGTGTTTTGAACTGGGTGATCAAAAAGCAGGGCTTTGGGAGCATCTCCTGGAAACCAGAAATATTGGGCTTGGAAGAGATGTCTTTGAAGGTTTCTTTAGTTGGGTTTTTTCTCCGGGCTCGTGTTGTTTGTCTCTCTCCTGCTGTGACAGAGCCACACTCGCTTTGCTATATTTATTGAAATGACAGGTGGGTTCTGTGTCATTCTGGCCAGGATTTGGGGTTTTAGAGAAAATAAACTTCTTAATACAGTGGGAGTTGACAACACTCAGTGTCTGTCTCCTCAGTGTTACATTTAGGCCAGCTATTTTAAACCCAGGATTGAAGTATTGCTGATTTCACGGGGATTTGTCTGCCTAATAGAGTATTTGACTCAGAAAAATCTTAATCTTTCTGTTTTTCCATGCAAAATCTGTTGTCAGGCTTATTCAGTGGGTCTTCACCTAATTCTGTCTTGGGGCCTGCAGGTGTGAGCAGGAGGCTGCTGGTGTTGGTTGTGACAAATTATTGACATGACCAAAAAATACCTACAGGAATCACATCAATATTTTACATCCCCTTTCCCAGGAGCACCATTCCAGCACGGGAGAGCCTTTAAAATGTGCTTGGACCTGCCTTTGATTCTGACAAAGGATCTGGCAGAGAAATGTGTTGTGATTTAGATACAAATAATAAACGGAGGCATCCCACTCTTCCCTCCCTTTCCTGCCACTGGAGGCATGGAATGGACTGGTTCACCTGGACTGAAATCACTGAGCATCCTTTGGGATGGAAGTGGCTGCCTGTAAAACATTCCCAAATGGAATGGGATGCCAGTAGCTGCTTGTTTTTTTTCCCTTGTTTGTTTTTCCAAGCAGGCACTGTGCCGTGCTGGGATTTCTTTGATACCTGAAATTCCAGTGCAAGAACTTGTTCAGTTTTTCAAACAAATGCACAGTCAGAAGTGAAGGGTCCTGTTGTTGTAACCTCTGGTTCCACCAAGAAATTCTTCCTCGTTAACCTTGTGCTTTCTCCTCTCTTCTCCCTTCCAGGGGCAGTAAGCCAGAGATGACTGACAAGATGTCGAGCTTCCTTCATATTGGAGATATTTGTTCTCTCTATGCAGAGGGCTCAACAAATGGATTTATTAGCACTTTGGGGTAAGAACAGCTGTTCTCTTGTACTAAAAGCAACGTAAGAAGGGCTAGCAGAGCTCAGCCAGCTCTCCTGAGCCTGATCCCAGGGAATACTGGGTAAAGCAAAGTAGCTTTATGTATGGATTTGGCCCTGCATTTAAAGATGGCCTAAAGTTACCGTGGCAGGGTAGATGGGAGGCTGGAGAGCGTATCAATGGCTGTGGTGTGGTTTGGATGTCCTTGGTGGGGAGGAAGGACCTTGTCAAGTGAAGGTGTGGGTAGAGGGAGTGGATGCAATGAAATGACTTTCGTGTTGTTGTCTGTCCCATGTCCATCCGTGTGTCCCGTCCTGTCCCTCCCTGCCCCTTGCCCCAGTCAGGGCTGAATAGACCCCAGTGCAATCTGCTGACTGGAAAAGAGGCTGTAGCATAGGCCATGTAAGTAGTTTAAATATATATATATATATATAAAAAGAACCCCCAAGCCAAATAGTTTATATACCACTAACTCATCACTATGATTAGTTTTGTCTTAAATTGAGGTTTAATTTGAGGTTTCTCATACAAATAAAGTTGTTCTTCTCCAGTGAAAGGAGAACATGTTTTGACCCTTGTGTTTGCCCAAGGCAGTGGCAGAGCCCTGGAGCTGTGGTGGGAGCTGTGCTGTGCCAACTCCTGCTTCCCACAGTGCTCCTACGTGCTTCCTTCCCGAAGACACTGAGCAGGGGCTCTGGAGAGAGTTCCTCTGGAGCAGTGGGAAGTGCCTGCTCCTCCAGTGATCAGAAAAGTAGCCTTTCACGTGGGAAAAGGAAGAGTTGGCAGAGCAAAGCCACGGAACTGGATGGTGACTCTGAGGAGGGACAGGAGCTGTTTTATCCTGCTGAGGAGAAACCTCTCCAAAGGCAGAGACCTTGCAGGGGGTCGAGTGAGGAGCTCCAGGAGCACATCTGCCACCTTCTCCCAAAGCCAGGAGCAATCAGAGGGAGGGAATAGTGTGCATGGCTGTGGGACCTCAGTGCTGAAGGAGCAGCCAGGAGGCACCAGGCAGGTGGCTGTGGGGAGTGGGCACACACACAACGTGCTCTTTCTCATTTCCAGTAGCCATAAGGGCCTCAGGGTGGGTACAGTGACAGCAAATTTTTTGATGCCTACTGTCCAGATGCATCTGATAAATGGAGCTCCCAAGCAGGGTACAAAGACAGCATCCTGGTAAGTGTCTCGGCAGGAAACCACGGGCTGGAATCTCACCTGAGTGACTCCGAACTAACTTGTAGGTTTAGTCCTCTAGCCATTAGGATTCTGGAAAATAAGGGGGCAGAGAAGGAAGCAGACACTGAAGATGCACCATGATCTATTATAGGAAAGAGAAGAAAATATGGGATGCTGCCAGAAAGGAAAGAAGGTATGATAAAAGCAAGGGGTGTAGTAAGTAGGGTCGGTCGAATAGTATTTGGCGAAAATGTATTTGACAGATTTCCCAGGCCCTGGTCAAATATGCCACGTGCACTCTGCAGTACTCGATCAGTGACTGGCCAAATACTATCTGCTGAACACTGGCAACATGAACTCTGTGGGACATTTGGCTCTTTTCTTTCTCCCCAGTCCTGAAGTTTGGCAGTAACTAATCCCCGAGCGAGTAGAAAGCCGCGCTGTTGTGTCGGACCCCACCCGGTGCATGATGACCAGTTTGCAGTGGCTGTGGCTTTGATGGCATTGCTGAGCAGAGATTTTTCACCATGGGTGGTCCTTTTGGACATCACAGGCCCCGAGCACGTGTGTTTTCTAGGCTTGATGAGGCGTTCTCATGGCAGGCCCAAAGACCCCCCAGTGTTCCCAAGCCTCCTCTCTGATTTGGTTAGTGCTGTGTTAAGGTAACTGCATTATATAATGGCCACATATCTTCTGAGCCTAATTTAAGCCAGAAATCCTAATTGCTATGTGAAACATGAAATGCATTATCATCTTAATAAGCCTTCATAATCTAATTAGTTTTGTCCCATATTTAATTTAGTCTTTGTCCTGGAGAAAATTAAAGCAGCAAAGGAAAGATTTGGTGTAATTGTCCTTTAGCCCATGTGGAGTTTTGACAGTCTGATGTCATAACAATGTGTAATGACTTGTTCATGTGGTTACTGAAGGTTGAGGAGCAGATACCACTACACATTCTAATGCTGTCCTAAATCTCTGAAGAGTGTTCCTAATTAATATTCCTATGACATGACTGTTGCTTAATCAGGACTTTACTCTTGCTGTTTCCCAAACTCAGTGCTGCCATCACAGTGATTACTGGGCTACGATATATCTTCTTCTGTGTTTCTCACCCTGGAAAATTTTTCTCTCGGTAGTTTGGGAAGTTCCTCTTCACTTCCAGTTAAATCTCAGATGAGAGGGATATATTGCACTGAGATGATCTCTGTGTGGGATGATCAGAGTAACCCCTTTGATACTTTTTGGCCCTTAGTTCACTAGAAGCAGGTGCTTCAGCTCAAATATTAATACCATTCATGCAGGAGCACCTCTATGTCTATATAATCCCGAATAGGGAGAAAATCCATGGGGAAAAAGCAGTTTACTCTGAATGTTTTGCATATGCGAATTTTAGATGCATAGAACTGTTGAGTCCACTTAGTGTCTCTGATCTCTGAATTTTCATGCACTTGGTTGTTTTCTGTAGTTGTTGTCTCAAGATGCTCCCTGCATGTGACCAGCCCCTGCAAGGAACAACTCTCATATTCTAGGTCTCAGTCTCTCTCAAGTTGATTCTGCATGGGAATGGACCTCTCAAACCTTTGACCTTGGAGTTTTACTTTCTACTTCTGTGTAGAAGCCTCTTTGACAGATTGTTTTTTCGGGGCCAAATTGAGTCACTGAGGATCAAATCAAACCACGAAATGTTTGGTTACAGCTGCAATTTCACAATTTGGAGGTGGTGTCACTAAAAGTGCGATTCCACCCCGATCCAAAGTGTGCTGGGGGCAGAGCAGTGGGAACAGGTGCCTCTTAACTATTCCCTTCATTCTGTGGGGTTTAATTGACCCTCTGGGGTTTTTACAGGTGTGTATTCACACAAAGCTTGGTCCTGGCATTCCCTATTGGAATCTCTTGGCCTCACTTGTCCAGCTCCCCTCCTTCCTGGTAGAACAGGAGGAGGTTGGCTCGACCCCTTGGCTCACCTTGTGTTTGCCTGGGGAGCAGGAGGGTCTGTCTGTGCCTTCCTTTCTCTCAGGAGTCAATTTTTACCGTGGCAGTGACTGTTTCTGCCATTTTTTAATACTTGAGGGACCACAGGGTCAGTGTCCAGTTTGCATAGTTGTCATATTTTGCTGTTCTCTGCCCATATAAACACATTTTGAGCGTGACTCAAATCTGTCCAAGAGGCAGTGGCTGTTCTAAGGGTGTCTGTCACCTCCCTAGAATATGGGCTGTTCTGTCTGCACCTCCAGGAGGGGACATAAAGATGATGCAGAACACAGGAGCAATGACTTATTTATTGTCCCACCTACCAGGAGCATAGCTCTGGGCAACAGTACAAATTAGCTGCATGCTTCTGACCAAGATCTGGCATAAGATGGCATTTGGGGAATGTCTTCTGCTCAAGTGGCCACTCGGATGAAATATTGCAAGTGAACCACTTTGGTTTTGCTAACGAGGACGTGGGGAACTGCCAGGGGGATAAAATCTCACTTTGCTGCTCATTTCTTTGCAGCCTTGTGGATGATCGGTGCGTTGTGCAGCCAGAGGCAGGGGATCTTAACAACCCACCCAAAAAATTCCGAGGTAAGTCGGTTGGACAGCTCGTTACCCTGCTGGTTAGAAATGATTCTTCACTTTGTGCAGCCACGTGGAACGATTCCTGACCTCTCTGCTTTCTAGAGCATATTTTAGTGTCATCTCCTTCCATGAAGGACAACTCATGGGGGGAGGAAAAAATACCTATGTGTGAATGCCTGTTGTGGTTTAACCTGAGTTGGCAACTCAGCCCCACCCCGGTGGGATGGGAGAGTAAAAGTGAGAAACTCGTGGGTTGAGGTGCAGACAGTTTAATGGGTAAAGCAAGAGCTGCACACACAAGCAAAGCAGACTAGGGAATCTTTCCTCACTTCCCATGGGCAGGCAGGTGTCTGGCCATATCCAGGAAGTGAAAAGAAGGCTTTGTGAGGGGATGGAGATGGGGCTGCCAGTTAAGGCTGCCTTTCAGATCTGTCCAAACTTAGAGGATCCCTGGAAATTTCCTTTTCTTTTTCTCTGTTCTGTCCCGTGCCTTTCAATTACCCAGAACCAAACCTGTCTCAGAGAAGAGGAAAATAAGAAGGAGCAAATGTTTGCAACAACTATTGTTGTCTGACCTAACTGGATATTAACCACCTTAGGCTTTGCTTTCACTCTGCCAGGAAACTTCTGCTCAGTGATAAGAAATGAGTGCCTGGTGCTCTGCACAGCTTGGCAAGGCCTGACTTGTTTAAGAAAAGTCTCAGACAGGAAGAGAAGCACTAGCTGGGATTTTGTTTGCAGAGACCTTGGAATTCTTTTTTCCTTTTTTTTTTTTTCCTACCCCTTGGATGCATCTTTTACCCAAAGGATAACTCAGCCAAATAGTTTGAAACGTTGAGCTGGATTTTGTTGTTGTTTCAGATGTAGCAGCAACTGTGTGTCTTGTTTCTTTGGATGAATCTTGTTCCCTTGGTTATGCTTTGCCTTTACCAGGGTCTCAGAATCACCAGGATTCTGTTCAGGTGTGGCCAGAACTGCAGGTGATTGCCCTTGAAAATCATGTACCTTCTGTGCTGCTTGTTTTGCTTGCTGTTCTTTAAGTGCTTTTGGGTTTTTTTTTTTGCCATGACATGAAGATGTCTCATATAATGAAACTCTTTTAAAATGTTGCTGCAGTCTGTGAGTTCTTGTTGTTTTTTTTTTCTCCCTTTTTCCTGGAAAACTAAAGAGCTGATAATTCAAATGCTAAAGAGGCAACCTGGGGAAGTTTCAGTATTCAGTGTTAAGCTCTCTAGAAAAGAGAACAATGTTGTTATGTGAACCAGAGCCTTGACTCGAGGCATTTCTTGATGTTAAAATCACAGGAAAGAATAAAACCAGGTTTGACTGAGACTGCTGAGTGTAGATGGAGGTGGAGGGAGAGAGGGAGAGAGAAAAGAATGAAAAAAGGCACAGTTTAGGAACTGCAAGTACAGAGAGACGTTTGTCTGACATAAAACATTGTGGTTAGACATTGTAAATGTTCTCATATTACTTATAATTTATACAGGGAGGAAGAATGGTGTGAACCTTTTCCAACCTTTGTAGTTAGTTCAGTAAAGCTTTCATGGGGAAGTTTATGCTTAATGGTAAATGGCAACAAAAGTCATAAAATTTTAGGAGGCATTTCTGTTATTTATACACACACTTTGCAAGTGTAGTCTGAGATAAAATGCTTTCTACGATAAGTATGTTCAGAAGAGGTAATGATGAAGTTTATCACCCCAGAAATGGATAATACCCCTTTTCTGTGGTGAAGCAAAGGCCCCCAAAGGCTGGTCTGGGGTTGCACTGGGGGTTCCTGGCAAGGTCAGGACCCACAGCCGTGTCCCTGCAATCTCAGTCGGAGTTTTTATGGCCCCTCACAAAAATCCCTCCCTTGCACACAGAACTCGAGGCCTCCCCGAAGGGACACTTACCCAAACAGCAACATTTACATCTGGGATATAAAGCAGCAGTGGGAAAATGGGATGCAGTTGTGTCAGTGTTTAGTTTTGTGACAGGGACAGCATGAGGTGCCTGTGGGACAGCCTTGGCTGGGAACTGCTGGGCAAATGTTGTTCTGTCCTGTAAACTTTAACATGGTGCCCGAGGGTGTTCATATATTGTCTGGAAGGGGTAGATTTAGGTGAGATATTGGGAAGGAATCCTCCCCTGGGAGGGTGGGGAGGCCCTGGCACAGGTTGCCCAGAGAAGCTGTGGGTGCCCCTGGATCCCTGGGAGTGTCCAAGGCCAGGTTGGACGGGGCTTGGAGCAACCTGGGCTGGTGGAAGGTGTCCCTGCCCATGGCAGGGGGTGGCTCTGGATGGGCTTTAAGGTCCCTTCCAACACAAACCTTCATGGGACTCATACAAGTCCCCCCTGCTGATGCATTGCTGCAACTGGAAGGAATGTTTAAAAATCTCATTAGAGCAAAACCAAAAAGAATCAGGTGGGAGTGACCTGCATTCTGCCTTCACAGAGGACTGGAAAAACACTGCTGTGAATTTATACCTGGTTTATGTCTCTGTGTGACTCCCCTTTCAAAGCAGCTGTGCTGTTGGGTGTGCAGGTCAGTCCCATCTGACCTCTGGCCAGGCTTGGGAATCTTCCCTTGTGTGGTGATTTTAAGAAATGTCATTCCGAGCTTCTCAGAGCAGATCTGTCTTCTGTGGGCAGATGTAAAAGAGCTGTAAATATAAATTTCATGCTTAATCGAAGCGATGAGAGATCTCTGGGAGGAAGATTGACTGCTCAGATATGCAGACATGACTCCAAGAAAATTCAGTGTGAAACCAAACCTATCTATCCAGTGGCAGGAGGAATCCATCCAGCTTTTTTTCCTCAGGCATAGGTGTTTCAGGTTTTAAAAAATGATGTTGCCTAGGCTACACTTAATCACCTGCATCTCGAGGCAGCAGCAAGGCCCAGGTCTAGAGGGTGGTGGTTTTTCTTTCCACTTTAGACCCTTGAATGAGAGCAGAGCTGCTGTGCACGAAGTGGTGGGGTGTGTGCACCATCCCTCTGCCTGGAGAGAGCCTCTCCTGGGAGGAGGGTTTGCCAGGAATGCTAAAATATGAGTATATTCTGTCACCAAACACTGATAACCTGCTCGGGGTGTGAAAACAGTCCCTGCCTGGGGAGTGTGTTCCTAAAAGCAGCCACTTCCCAGCTGAAACGGAGGAGGGCTTTTTGTAGTAAGTCCCTGCTTTAAAAAAAGGTTGGCTTGGAGTTGTCCTGGGGAAAATGCAGCGAGGGGAGTGCTGGGTGGAACAGGCTGATGTGCAGCAGCACAGAGTCAGGGATGGGAGGGATGGAAACATCCAGGCTGCTGGGAGGGGAGGCAGAGGCGTCCTGAGGACCCCAGGGCCTGCTTTGTTGACAGAAGAGGCTGACAGAGGGATCTGGTGGTGGTGGAGCCCTGAAAGGAGTGAATGCAAGAGAGAAAATGGTCGGGTAAGGTTTGGAGTAAAAGTGTAGATGAGATGTTAAAAAATAAATAAAAATTCAATGTATTAGATGGAAAAAAGTGAAGTGCTGGAGATGAAAGAACTCCAAAGGAAGGTGTTGGTCCAGAACCCTCAAGTTCCTGTGAGTGTTTACCTGCAGTTATTATTATATTAAATGCTGTGGTGCCTCTTGGTCCTTAAAATATTCCTTTGACCACTTGAAGGTATGGAGGCTGAGTTTTTCTTTCTTCACCCCATCCCAATCAGGATTACAGAGCACCTGAGGTTGGATGGGAATTATGGTCTGTGAGATTTCAGTGGTGTTTTTTATTTTGGCCTTCCGAATCCACTTTACAAACGGTGTTTTGGGGGTGTTTGGTATTTTTCAAGTGCAGTGTTTCTCCAGCCCTTCGTGCTTTCAGCTCCAGCTGATTCAAAAGCCCTCTAAAACTACCTTGCAAAAAGTGAAGACTGGAGAGTTACTTTTATTAGGGTGTTTCTTTTTAAAAATGTTAATATGAAAACTCTTGCGAAAGAGGTGGTTTTTTTTTTCCTTAACTGTTCTAAATGTGTACAGATGAGATTCCTGGAAGAAATCCCACTTGTACAAGCCTCCAAAAAAAGAAAGAGTGTGACAGTTCCTTAGTTATCTGCACTTCTGTGAACAGAAAAGGCCTTTTATGTTTTGTATGAAGCTGGAACCGCTGCTCTGATTGCTGCCTTGGAGTGTGACTGTGTGTGAAGAGTGGCTAGAAATGAATTTCCTTTGAACTGGAATGGATTGGTGTGGAAAGAGTGAACTGGAGCTGACCCTCAGCTTGGCTAAAACCCCACTTCTCACGAGGAATCATTCCTGCCTAAATGCATGGAGACAGATCCGTGTTCCAGAGTCAAATTGTGACCTGGGGAAAGTGCAGCAGGGCCCGGGGTGGGTGGGTTTGTGCTCCAGCTGCTCTTGCTGGGCTCCATCAGTTGGTTTGGTTTGTGCCCCAGTTGCTGTTCTGGGCTCCAGCAGTTGCTTTGTGCTCTATCAGTTGGTTTGGTTTGTGCCCCAGCTGCTGTTCTGGGCTCCAGCAGTTGGCCTGGGTGTGTTTGCAGGGTTGCTCTGTGTTTCTTTGTGCTGGAGCTCAGCCCAACGTGTTTGTTTAATGCAAGACGCTGCTACTACAGCAAAACAACAAAACAAGCTGTCTGACAGCCTGCTCAGGAAATTCCTTATGGCTCGGATTTGGGATGCAGAGCTGCCTGCCAGCCATCCAGCAGCTCTGCAATAGCTGCACGAAACTCCAGGGAAAAGGGCATGTACTGGGTTAATTTGTCCAGCAGCTCCCTCCTTCCAGAACATTGTTTTAGTAGTTGCTGGGCAACACTCTTTTTTTGGCAAGATGTTCAAGGAATGAACCCATATCTTAGACTTAAAATACCCTCATGGCGAAGCAGAAGATGAGTAGTTCAAATTCTGTTTGTTCTTTTGATCCCAATCCATTCCCTGTGCTCCTGCTGCCTGGAGGGGTTGGGGGCCAGCACTGAGGGGCTCAGCCTTGGGCTGCAGGTTCATCCTCAGCAGCAGAAATCACTTGGGCACTACAGAGCTTTAAT